GGTACTATGGTATTCTCTAAAAATTATTATATTAATTTATGATGTCACCAGATACCTCAGTTATGTTGAAAAGAAAGCACTGACACTTCAACCCCATATAAATTATTCCTAGATGGAATATTTCTGTCCTGCATTAAAGACAAATTTCTCTAATTGTAACTCTAATTTCTCTGAAAATATCATGTTTTATGTTATTTTCCCAACTTTAGGCCAGATATCACAATGTCCACTTCTTTCTTTTCTTCTTTCTTCCTTTTCTCCTTCCTTCTTTACTTCCTATAAAATGTCTTAAAGTCTACCTAAGTTTCGTTCAATATTTTTCTAATAATTTAAAGCCTCTAGATGACTTGGATTAAGTTATCTTCCACTTTACTAGACATCTGTTAAAAGAACCTTTTGAAGGCTGAAAATTCAGGCAATTAATTGACTGAAGTAAATGATTTGCCTGACACTAAACAAATGTAACTTGTTTTCGCTGAGGTTTGTTGAATTTTGGAGTGAATTTCCCTAAATATCCTAATTGTTTCTACTTTGAAAAATGTGTATGTATACTAATAATCACACTTCTTTTTAAACTAATACAAACAGTAGACCAAAACTTTGGGCTAGCTTCCATCGAAGAAGAGGGAAACGAGCATCACTTCTGCCTGGGAGTGTGGGCTTTTCCTCTGGTTGCCTGAGTTCCGCGGCAGTCTCGTGCTGATCAGGCCAGTGTTGCTATGCAGCCTGGCAGTCAGCAGCTTTTCTCTGCTCTGCTTGAGTCTCTAGTGACAGGCTGGGGCAATTCTGGAAGGTGGCGCAGGGAAGGTCAGGGTAGGAGATGAATGCTTCATGTAGCCAAGAACAACAGCCCAGACAGCCTGAGCCATCAGTGTGGTGACAGATCACTCTCCTATCTTTAATCATGGAAACTCAGGTTCAGTTATCACCACCCACTGGAATCTCTTCATAGTCCAGCAGCTATTGCCTTTGTGTGTATGCACTTTCCCTATTACTTCAAGTATCTCTTTACTCAGGCACTTACTGCATTCCCTGGGGATTATTTGTGTACATATTTACCTGTCTCACCAGACATGGACACCTTGGACATGGGAAGTGTCCCGAAATGACTAATGAACAAATGGAAGACCAGTCACATGGCTGATGCACTCTGATGAGCACGAGGAAGAGAGCAAACAAAATCACAGAGCTTCCTGATTATAGACAACACGCCCTGTATTACGACCTCCCCAACTTCTGTTGTATCTCCTAAACTCAGTGATACAGATACTTATAATTTTCTGAACATACCAGCTTATTTCATGCGGCTCTCTGCCTTTAAATTTTCGAATTCACATACACCCCACTTAAGGGAGGGGAGGGCTGGCAAAACCTATCCTTTCAAGTCTCAGTTCATGTGTCATCCTCTTCTCCAAGAAAGGCTGACATCCCTCTCCATTCTCCCTCCTTCCAAAGTTCAAGTGATTACACCAATGGACTAAATGTGCCTCCTCTGTGCTCTCACAATATTGTTTCTTTTAACTGACCAGTTTAACCTACGCTCTCCATTTCTTCTGGAAAATATAATGACTGATGCCCACAGCAGACTGAATGTTCTTTGACATCAGGATGCACTGGAATGCTCACATACTTCTGCAACCCCCACTCCCCAAACTGGATGGTTACCCAGACTCATTGTGTTTGTTCCCAAAACTATCTATGCCGATTGTACCTGTTAGTGCTATTAAGTCATTCAGTAGATGTGACTTAAGTAAATAGCATATAAGTGGGGAGAAAAATAAGAGCTGTGTTTTCTATGGAAACAGATGGATCTTTTGGAACTATAAGCTCCTAAAAACTGTGCTGTTGAATGAGGTATAGGCAAGACAACAGACAAAGATGGGGCAGGGGTATGTAAAACTCTTAACTCTCCTCTCAGATTATGTAAGTGCTCTTAATCTTTAACTCCACCTTATAAAATCCCAAACTGGAAATCATTGAAGATGGCTTACCAGGGTGGTTTTTGGAACTCCCACCAGCATATCCATACTATAATAGAAGCCCTCAGCCCTATGTCAATGATTAGTGATGTGTATGTGTTTTAAGTCAAAATAAAATGTCATTTTTCCCTGTCCAAGTCATGTGCTGTATTAAAATAATTGGGGTGAGGGTAAAGCAACAGAGTCTGTCTGCGTTACTAGATCGTGAGTTTCTTGCAAACAGTGACCACATCTGCTGATGTCGGTAGTACTGTGCCTGGAAAGAGTGTTTGGATCCAAGCGGACTTTCTTTAAGGGCTTCCTGACCTGAGGGAACTGAATGAACTTATTTTTGTACAGGGGGTTTCAACCATTAAGTCTCTATGCCTCATAACCACTAGAGAGTAATGTAGCTGTATTTCTTTAAAATGGTCATCCAGGGGCAGTGCCTCTAAGCGAGGTCCCCTAAAATGGGATGACCTCCCCTGACCCAAATGGGTAGGAGAACCTGTGGCATAAACATCTCACCAACACTGTCATTCTTTGTGCATTAATTTCCCTTGTTTATTTGAGTGAGGTGACTGATTCCATCTTTTCTAAACAGTAAAAGGACCACATTATAATCACTACCTCATTAAGTTAATTATTAAAGCCCAGTCAGTTTTCTGGAAATAAAATAAAAATTAAAAAAAGAAAACCTCATGCAAATGTTGTGAGTATTCTCAAGGATTATGAGTTGGTACAATCAGCGCTGGCCACAGTGTTTTACAGGGGCGTCTCGGAGGGAACACTAGGGAGGAAAACATGGGGAGTGTGTCCATGTGAAAGGACAGTCCTCAGCCCTTCCTCCTTTCCGCTGAACGAGTCTTCCCCCACTTCTGATGGGCTGGAATGGTAAACTCCAAACATTAAGCTGCTAGTTGCTCATATTTTTTCAAAAGGAATGTTCTCTCTTAGGGTCGTGAGATGAAAAAGAATTCGAAACATTCCCTTTAAGAGAAAAACCCTGGGTGAGTAAAAAAGAATGATTGTTTGACTTTTCAGCGAGTTGCCATGCTGCATTACAACTAAACTGATGATGTGTGATGTTAGAGGATCTTAAACAACCCACAGCTGGGGTCTCAGGGCGCACAGGCCTTCTATTTCACAAGCCTTTGGAAGGAGTAAAAGAATATCTGTTCCAAAGTACTATTTGAGAATTAATCAGATCTAAAACAAGATAAACAGTCTAATTTACAATTATGATGGGGTCTTGAAACAGTTGACCCCAGAGGCTGGGCGATGCCAGGCACAGAGCATTTGGGGGGTCAGCTGGCCTGGGCTTGAGTCTCAGCTTCACCCAACTAGTGACCAGGTTCAGATTACCTCCCTCTCTCAGCACCCATGTTCCACTGCCCTTCCAGAACATACAGGGAAGCAGCCCTAGGGATTTGCCTTTGACTTTCTTCTGTTTCAAGAACATGAGTTTCTTTAAAGGGCAATATGAAAAAAATACAATTATGCAAATTGCTATTTCTCCGTCTGCACTTTTTCTCTTAGGGCAGGATCTGGCAGGGTCCAAGATATGGTTGAAACTGATACAAAAGTTTTTTTCCCAATGAAGTTAGAATGGGATATTACTGTTTAAACCACATAAATTCAAAATGTACTAGTTTAGTGTGCAATACAGAAATTCAAACCCAGTATTTGCCCTCTAGCTGCTCATTGTTGAAGGGAGCAGTGGCAGCTTATTCAAAATGAGTAAGAAAAATAAATACACTGACATTTCAACACTGTAAAAACATGTAGGCTCCCTTTTAAGATTTTGACTCCTGATTTATTTTTCTTTTCCATCTTTCCATGGAGAAGGGCAGTCAATGAATACTCGCATCTCCGTGTGTCTGTCTCTAAAGCTGGCAGTCGTCCAGAAACACAATTAGGAAAGGAAGAAAAGTTCCATCCCTCCGCCTTTAGAGTACGACTTCTCAGCCCTTTCACAGAAGACCAGAGTTGGAATGAGCAGTGTGGCTCTTGTGCACCTTCGTGGTGCTTTTCCTCCCACCTTCCTATCTCTCTGTTGCGTTGTGGCATTGTGCAATGGAATCAGGCTACCAAGCGGTGTGAGACCGTTATTGCCCTCAAGGTGCCAGTCACTAATCACAGTTTCTCTCCTCCAAATTAATCACAGCTTGTCCCTGACATTTGGGTTCTTTAAGAGAGTTGCCTCAGGCTGTCCTCTGAGCCCTGAGTCCAGCCTTAAGACTTCTCCCACAGAAACCGTTCTATTGCCTATTGCCGACCACAGAGCAATACTGCAGGACTACTTTGGGGGATGGGATGAAACAAGTCTCTGGGCTACCACTGACCACCTTCTGGGGCTGGCCTTTCTTACTTGACTTCATGAAAAGGAGCAGTGCCTCAGCTGGCCCATGTGTAACAAAGGAAAATCCTGTGAGCTCCAGAGGAATGAATACATATCAACCCCTTAGCACCATGCCTGGCCCACACATAATACACAGGCAAGCAACGCGACTAATGATTTTATCACCATCCTCTGTGATGATGCTGGTATATAAAGCCTGGACTGTCCAGGCCGGCAGCTTGGCTTCGACTCCCCTCACTTGGAATGTCGCCTTGAGAGAGTCTGAAAGCCTCAATTGCTTCATTTGTAAAATGAGAATGTAGGACTCAGTGCCTGGTGCGTCGGCACATGAGACTTCAAGCAAAGCTCAGGAGAGTGCAGCGTGTGGATGGGTTAAGGGTGACTGTCGCTGTTAGTACTGCAAATGAAGGCAAGCCGGGCATCGGTGCCCGCTGGGGACCATGCCAACAAGTCTGGCAGTTTGAAGCCTCCTTGTCCTTAACCAAATAACCTCTCAGGTCCCAGAGTCAGGAAGACTTCCTTGAAGAAGCACGGGGTGCAGTGGGAGGTGGGGGATGCTCTGGGACCAGCTGGAAGTGGGCAAGGAGAGGCCGAATTTGACCCCGGGCTGCACGCCGGGCCTGCGGGTCTGCCCTGCGGGCTTGCGGGGCGCAGCCTGGGACCCCGGCGGGCTGAGCCGCTCCCACGAACGGGAGCCGGGCTGGACCCCGCCCAGGCGGCGGCCGGGTCCCCTGGGCTGGGCGCCTCTGGCGGAGCCGACTGGGCGGAGAGGAGCGCTGCGGGAGGAGGAGTAGGAGGAGGGGGCTGGTCAAGGGAAGTGCGACGTGTCTGCGGAGCCCTTTTATACCTCCTTCTCGGGAGTCCGGCAGCCGCAGCCGCAGCCGCAGCCGCCGCCACCGTGCACCCCAGCGTCTTAGCTCCGGGAGCCGGCTCCGAGTTCCAGCGCGCCGGGCGCCGCCGCCGCCAGCCAGCATGTCGGGGGTCAAGAAGCAGAAGACGGTAGGCTTCCAGTCGCCTGCCTTCCTCCTCCCCGCCAACCGGGTGGCGCCGAGCCTCCCGGGGCACCGAGATCCCACCCGTCCCGGGAGGCGGCGAGCAGCCGAGGCTCGGAGGCTCGGGCGAACGCCGGGAGGAGGACGAGGGCGCGGAGGAGGGCGAGCCGGGGGCCGAGGCTCCGCCGGGATTCTCGGGGCAGCCCTCGCCCGCCGGTCCGCCTCCGCCTCCGCCTCCGCCTCGCGCTTCTAGGGACCTACGCTCCTTGCCGTGGTCGTCCCGGGCTAGACCTCCGGAGCTCGCAGAGTAGTTCCCAAGCAAAAGAAAGGACCACAACGAGGAAATTTCCTTTCTTCCCCGAGAGCTTTTCCAGACCCGCCTTTTCTTCTGTTCGGTACCCGAGTGGGTGGCGGGCTCAGCTGACTCTGGTTCTGCCAGGTCTGGTCGCCGGGTACACGTCAGCGACAGTCATTGGAATTTTGTCTATTGAACCTCCTCGTAGTGGACTTTAATGACAGACTTTCATAGAGGAAACTGCAATTATCAGGACTTACAGGAGGAAATTGCTTTTCTACCCTGGCAGGATTTAACCCTTAGCTCAATTCAGTTCCCTGTTGGCAGCTGGTGGCCCCTCAACTTCAGCCTTGGGAGGCTCCTCGCGGGGGGGTAGGATGAGGGGATTGTTTCGAGGAGGTTCAGTTTTATGCAGAATTAATCTGAGACATCCCCTTTATGGGAAATAGTGGGCTTGTCAAAGACAAAAGTTCCTTATCCACGTAGCAACAGAGGCTTCTACAAATTACCCATCCTTAAATATGTTAGCAGTGATCAGAGAGTCTTAAGAGTTGGAAGGAGCCTTGTAGACGGCACCTGGACCACAGAGGTGGCCTGCAACCCAACCAGCAGACCTGATTGCTCAGCACTCACCTTTACTGCACTGCAAGCCTCAGGTGTTTATGGTGTTTACTCAATGCATGCACCTCTCTTAAGTAGTTAAACTTGTGCTTGGCGCATAGTAGGTGATCAGTACATGTTTATTAGTGCGAGTAGTAGTAATGTGTTATTAATGCAACATATTAGTAATGTATCACAGTTTTATTATTATTATATAATGCTTATTACTGAAATATCTCTAGGTTGTATTTGTGGTGGGCCAGGGGAGACATGAAAAAGCAAGAACTGGGGAAGGAGAGTGACAGGGCCATGCAGGGGCTGGAAGTGTGGGCTTCAGCAGCAAGGGAAAGGGTGTGGGGGCTCTGTGGTTTCCGGGGGCCACAGGACCAGCAAAGGAAGGTCCAGTGGGGAGCTAGCATCAGTTTGAAAAGGGAGAATGGTCAGGATTTACCTGCCTTCTGTAGGAATGATTTTAAAGTGGGGAGACTCCCAGTATTGTAATGTATTGTCAAGTGAAAATCACTTGCGCTTTATGTCTATTTAAGTTGATTAAATTCTGTAAAATTCTAAAGAGTATCTTCTAAATAACAAGCTACTATGGCATTTAGTAGATTTTTATGTCAGCGGAGTTTTAATGCTTCCTCACTGCTTGAGTCAAGAATTCCTTCCCAGGCCTAGTTAAAGAACAAGTACAAATGACCCATGAACATGGACCAGAGGATGGGAATAGACTGTGGGAGTAGGGCAGAGGGTGGGGACAGGGGAGAACAATGGGGGGAAATTGGGACAACTGTAATAGAACAACAGTTTTTAAAAGTTTAAAAGAAATGAATTCCTTCCCAGTTGGGGGGCGGGGGGGGGGCGCTTTTTTCAAGCATTAGTATTGAAAGGGCAGGTGGTCTTTCCCCTTCCTGCCCCTGGTTAGCGTGAACTGGGAGGAGGAGGGCTTGCGAAGAGGGCTTTAAGAGCCGATCATGGGAACTGCACAGTCAGTTCTCAGTGAGAAATTTGAGGGCCAGAGGCTTTGGGTTTTGTATTTACACATTTTAAATCTTCTAGTTTTTTTGGGGGGTGGTGTTTGGGGATATGTTTGTTATAGGATTAAATTAACACATTCTTTGTAGGATTAAATTAACACCTGATATAGCTAACAGGACTTCTGAACTTTTGTTTTAGCCCGCACAGTTATAATCCAGGCATCATCACAAGTTCCCATAAGGGTCAGAGAGATACTAGTGGATAGAGCAAGCCAGCCATAAATGTATATGAAATCTCTGAAGCTTTAAATGTTCATTCAAAATGTATTTTAAAACCTTGCAGGCCAAAACAAAAACTGTCCACCTGCAGGACCTCTCAACTATTCAATTATTTGACAAGTGAATCTTGCTGAGCTAGGAAACTACCCCAGAAGGGAGGACAATGCTCTAGTTTCTTTGTGCATTGCCAAGAGAGGACACACTACAGTCACTGCAGTAGCTTCAAATATTTGTCGAGTCCCTACTGTGTGCCAGGGAGTATACTGGGGCAAATATATCTTTCCTGGGATTTTTCACCACACTGATGAATCCTTTCAATCCAGATCACTGTAAGAAGAGTAAGTAAGAGAAAGTGGGATGGTTGTGTCAAAAACCTGAGGGAAAATAAATGAAATGTTCTTTTATAAGGGAAGGTGGTACATTCCTTCTGTGTTAGGCATCTTTATCATGGAAACCCAGGACACCTAGGTGTCACATCCTTCCCTTGAGTTACTTCCAACACTAGCCACCCCCCACACCCCTTACTCACACACAAAGACACCTAGGAGAAGAGAGGAGGCATTGCCTCCAGAGGACTGGAAAGAAAGGAAAAGTCCTGGTCCTTTCTTGTTGCATAATTTCCTGGATTAGCATTTGTTAAGGCTGACAGTTATATTATGTCTTGAAGACAGCAAATCTAAAATGTCAACTAAGGTATTAAAGTCTTTTCCAAAGGATCAAACAGCCAATGGTTGGGAAGGAGGGAAGGGGTATTGAAAGGGTTAAACTCTTCGTAAATGTAAGAGATTGTCTACCTATTTGAAGATGCTGCCTAAAGCAAGACATGAATTTCATGATGAGTAACCGTTTCAAGAAAGAAGAAACAAGTACTTCCCAGAGGCCAGGACTCTGCCGCACTGCATTTCATTTCATTCACAGCAGCCTCCACCCGGAACACTGAGCCCCGTCTCTGAGCGGGGAGAAGGGACAAGAGCAGGGCAGGATTTGAGTACAGGTCTGTCCAACTTTGAGCACAAAGTTGGGGTAACAATGACTTCCCCTTATAACTGTGAGGAGTAAAAAGTGTTTTGCATAGTTCCAAACCCAGAGTAAGTAGCCATTGCTAGTATTAGTGCACTGGACTGTTGGGGTTTGGCAAACATGGAGAAGAAAGACCAAGTCATACCATTCTGCAGGCTCAGTAAGTGACAACCACCATAATATTTACATAACGTATAATAACAGCAAACAGATGCAGACGTGGACGGGTTGGCTATTTGAATCCTTACTCTGAAAAGTTAGAGGATAAAGGTTGATCATTAGTGTAAATGCACCAGAGTAACCCAAATTTCAGCAAGAGTTTGCCAACCACCTTGGTCAAGAAAGGCGATCTATATGTCTAAGTACATTTTGGACTAAACTCTTTCCACCCTTCCTATGGCTTCAGGTGTTTCCACATCTACCGTAAAATTAATGTCTGATTCATGCTATTCTCCTAAGATCATCTGTTTGGACTTTTACAGTTAAAGATAAATGTACTTAACTCTGAGTTTTATGTCTCCGATATGGCTCTCTTGGCCTTTCATCACTTTTCTGTTAATGCACGTGGCTCTGCGGTTTGCTTAGGGGATAATTAGGCTTAAACGTGGAACCTTTAGAGTCTGGGAAAGGAATCAATGATGTCAACCTTAGTCCTTGGAGATTATTGTTTATTTCAAAATCTGTCACTAAATAGTAATGGACACTCATCGGTCCTTGTGTTTGAAAGTCTTAGGAAAACACAGAAACTAAAGGTAAATAAACATAAATATAAAGGCAGTTCAACTAACCTTTCATCCCCTGTGTGATTTGTTCACATGACAGCTGACATGGCATATTTGCCCACAGCCTGGCATGGAGCCTGGCACAGGGTAGGTGCTCAGTAAATATTTGTTGCATAAATGGCTACAGAATTCATTAGCAGACAAATTTGCTTTTAGGATCTAGAGTTTTCTTTGCTTCTTCCCTCTCCTCTCTTATCTGCCTATTCTTGTGGGCTTGCTTATTTTTGCCGGGTCTTTGTCATCACCCCTGAAAAATTACTTTCAGGGATTCTTTGAAGCTTAAGTTGAATGGCCTTTCCCCCCACTAAAGATTTGCTTTTGTTTCTGCCAGGTGCCTAGCAGCATTACCAGTCTAGGACCGCTTTAACCTAAATGTACCATTTGAAGTTTTTTTAAACCACCCAGGTGATGTAAATTTGAGTTGCAATTTTGCACACAAGGGCCAGCCTGTGAGTACAACATCTCAGGGACCCCACAGCCCTAGCCCTGCATGTACTTTTGATGCTGAGGCAACTGTCCTTACAGCCTCTCACAGTGGGAGGTGGGGTCATTCTGGCTCACTCTTGATTTTCGTTTGAGACTCTTCAGCGCCTCAGTTTAATGTGAGAAGGCCTTTTTATTCACCCCTCTTGGGTGGGTTCTGGACCCTGATTTGTTTCACCTCCCCGGTAAGGCCGTCAAATTTTAGTTCAGATCTGCCGTTACCAGGATAAAAAGCAACTCCCTGTTTGCTTACCTCTTAGGCTCCTGCTTTCCTGAAGATTTTGTCCTGGCAGTTTCTTACTTACTGTCATGTCAGCTTTTTGACTTTTGAAGGAGATGATATTATAACTAGCCATTTCTTCTTTGTTTTCATAGAAGAATGGGTTTGTATAACCTAGGCCATCATTGCTGGAAACAAAAATTTCTGCCTCCTCTCGATTCCTATGACCCATTAATGTTTCCTATCACACCTATATCATCCTTATTAAGGAAGCACTTTAAGAACAAGTAAACTTAAGTCACATATATTAAATTATTTAATTTAATCCTCCCCTGCACCCAAAGTTGCTGA